TTCTTTTCTTTTTTCCCATTGTCATACAGTCTATCTTATTGTCCACAGGTCGTCGTCCTCGCCTGCGTGGCTGCCGTCGCTCTCTGCGACAAGCCCCCAGTCTACCCCCCACCTCCCCCTGCCTACGCCCCCGCACCCTCCTACCACGCCCCTGCACCCTATCATCCCCCCGAACCCTACCTACCACGCCCCTGCACCATCCTACCACGCCCCCGAACCCGCTTACCACGCCCCTGAACCCGCCTACCACGCCCCTGCACCAGCTTACCAAGCCCCTGCACACTACGAGCCCGAATACCCTGATGTAAGTATTTGTGCAACCATAAGAATCTATGGCAACCTTTAATGGTCTTGTTACTAAGACCTTTCCAAGGCAGTCGTTATAACGCTTCTTTCCTAAATTACCATACTATAGCCACGATGGTTAAAAAAGACAAAAGAAAAGAAAAAAAGAACATGCTTACGAATGCTTACTGAGAAACATTTCTCATTCATGTTTCATCTCTCCAGGTCCCACCAAAGTACAACTACAACTACGGTGTCGCCGACGGATACTCTGGCGCCAACTTCGGCCACACTGAGTCCCGCGACGGATACAAGACCGAGGGCAGCTACACCGTCGACCTCCCCGACGGCCGCAAGCAGATCGTCACATATGTAGACAACGGCGACGGTCTTATTGCTGAGGTCACCTACGAGGGCGAGGCTCAGTACCCCGAGCACACGCCCGCCTACAAGCCCGCTCCCCCCGCCTACGGTCCCCCTCCCCCCACCTATGCCTAAGATGTCTTAGAGAGTCAGAGATATATTCATCAAATTGTATTTATTTTTATAAAAGAAATAAAACTTCACTTTGAAAAAAAAACAATTGAAATTTTATTCATACGTCCAAATGAAAATGATCATATAAACAGATAGTTGAAAGAAAACTGTGGAAGATGGTATTCATGAAGGAATTTGAAGCCAAGTATTCCCCCCACGAGTATTATGGCGAGCATCGACTACGGTTTTCTTCAAAAGACTGCAACTAATCAAACGAATTAATTTCAGACTCTTACTCGCATATCTTAAATAAGGAAAGCTATCACCACAATCCATTACAATATATGTAATATATATAATATCCACATTCCTACACACACAATCAATCGCATACACAAAAAAATATGTATATATGATAAACATTTATAAGATCACATATACATATATGTGTGTGTAAGCATCTTTTCCAATTTCTTAATAAAAATAATTCTCAACCGTTCTGTACATGTCCAGGATATTCTTTCCATATCTTCGAATGTAGTGGTAAAAAAGTGTCCCATGGGATTCTGGCCGGGAAAAGAAAATCATTACTGATAAGAATAACTTTCCTGCAAACATTTCGGAAATGCAGTCACCATCATTTGTGCTCACAGTATATACAAGACTAATAAAAAAAAATGCTCATAGAGATTAAAGAAACATAATGCAGGAAAAAAAGGTACATATCAATTGTAAAATAATAATGATAATGATTATAAATAAATAGATGAATAAATAAAACAAATTTCTATTTTAAGGTAATTGACCATTTAATAAGTGAATGGTTGTTCACATGGCGATACGGTGGTTGAAGTAGTTGTACCATGTTAACGATGTGGAGAGCTTCAGTTATGGTCAGGTCAAATCTGTTAGGATGGGATGGCAAAATTTGGAATTCAGTAATCCTAAATGGTGGTTGTGAGTATTGGCCCACATAGAAAATATACTGTAAGCTCAGTTAATTAGTGTTTTTCCCGGCTTTTAATTTTGTAAATGTGAAGTATGTAGCACAAAAAATGAAGTCCGAGGCCAGTGAATGTTGTTGCCTGCAGGTGTTGACAGATAAATCACCTACGGGAAACACACACACATATATGCATATACATATATTTGTATGTATATATGTATATATATAAATAAATGAATATATATGTATGTATACATATATATTTATAAAGACATATATACATATGTATATGTATAAATATATGTATATGCATATGTATGTATACACATGTGTGTATATATAAACATGTTTATGTGTGTGTGTGTACACATGCGAGGATTTGCGTCCATGCATTCATGTATAGACATATGCATACAGGGATAAAATTATATGATATTTATTAGCTCACGTACTTATCTCTATATGGCAATCTATAAAACAAAATACTGCAAGATTATCGCTTATAAATAAAACCATAGTTATACACAGATTATAACTTCAAATACAACTGCTTAAAAGAAAACAAAAATGAACAAACAGATAAATTTATAAATAAAAATAAAGATAAAAAAACAAACGTCTTTATACGAGACACTCATTATTCTATTAACAATTACTAAGATGGTACTTCAAGGGCTAGAAAATTATTCCCACGGTGAAAGGGCCTCCAGCAGAACGTACGTACGAATACACATCACATACAGTATATAAGGGGAAGCGTCAACCACTAACCATCATACGTTCACTAACCATGTCTCTCAAGGTACGAAATCTCCCTGTATATCGGAACGAAGTCTTTAACATGTGGTGTTGAGATTAATCAGTGAATGTGAAAGTGATCAATAACGAAAGTAGTGTTTAGATTTGCTTCAAATATATTTACATACGTACACACATACACACACACACACACACACACACACACACACACACATACACACACACACACACACACACACACATATATATATATATATATATATATATATATATATATATATATATATATATATTAATATATATATATATGTGTGTGTATGTCTATATATATATACATATATATATATATATATATATATATATATATATATATATATATATATATGTCTATATATATATATATATATATATATATATATATATATATATATGTTTGTGTGTTTGTATGTATATATATATATATATATATATATATATACACATATGTATATATACATACCTATACATATATATATATATACACACGTAAATATGCATGTATGTATGTATAGTGATATATATGTGTGTATGTATATGTATATATGTGTATATATACATGTATATATTTTTGTATATACATGTATATGTGTATATATATATGTATATAAATTCATACACACATACATATTATATATATATATATATATATATATATATATATATATATATATATATATATATATACATATATATATATATATATATATATATATATATGATTATATATATATATATACATTTATATATATATTTATGTATATACTGATTATCTAGATACACCTTTCATCGATGAACAGTGAATTCACGTTTTAACTTTTTCTATTTGTTCTTGCACCGAGCAACGTCCTATTATGCACAGGTCATCTTCCTTTCCTTCCTCATTAGTAACTTTAGATAACGTGATACACTGTCCACAGGTCGTCGTCCTCGCCTGCGTGGCTGTCGTCGCTCTGTGCGACAAGGCCCCAGTCTACGCCCCTCCTCCCCCCGCCTACGCCCCTGCACCTTACCACGCCCCCGAACCCGCCTACCACGCCCCTGCACCCGCCTACCACGCCCCTGCACACTACGAGCCCGAATACCCTGATGTAAGCATCTATATCATCAGAATACACACACACACACACATATATATATATATATATATATATATATATATATATATATATATATATATATGTATATTCCAATCTCTGTTGACTTTCTTAATGAGGTCTGCATCAACCCAGTCATTTGTACACCTCGCTGCTTCACTTCACTTATATCATACTGATTCCATTATAATATGAAGTTCTATAGATATTTGCAAAGCAGCTTTCATCATTCCCTCGTCATCTGTCCAGGTGCCACCCAAGTACAACTACAACTACGGTGTCGCCGACGGATACTCTGGCGCCAACTTCGGCCACACTGAGTCCCGCGACGGCTACAAGACCGAGGGCAGCTACACCGTCGACCTCCCCGACGGCCGCAAGCAGATCGTCACATATGTAGACAACGGCGACGGTCTTGTTGCTGAGGTCACCTACGAGGGCGAGGCTCAGTACCCCGAGCACACGCCCGCCTACAAGCCCGCTCCCCCCGCCTACGGCCCCCCTCCCCCCACCTATGCCTAAGATGTCTTAAAGTGTCAGAGATATGTTCATCAAATTGTATTTATTTTTGTACAAGAAATAAAGACTAGTTTGAAAAATCTCATTTTTTATACGTCCAAATGGAAACGAAAAGCTCCCTAATGATGCAGAAATTAACTGCAATAGCTCAAAAACATCCCTTCTCAGAATATGAATTATACAATAGACCTCAAGACTGAAATAAAGGTAAATAATTCTCATACATATAGACATGGGTTTGACAGAAAATGATGTGTATTCATGAGGAAATTAGAAGCCAAGAATTCCCCCCACAAGTATTGAGGCGAGTATCGACTGCGGCTTTCTTCAAATGGCTGAAATCGTCGGCTGGTAATCCAAAAACAACCAAACAGGGAAAGCCAAAACCACAACCAATTACAGTATTCACATACACACACAAGCACAACCACATACACTAAAATATGTAATATGTAATATATAATATGTAATATATATATCTGATTTAAATTTAAAAATATACGCACACACATTTATACACATATATGTACACACACACACATACACACGTACACTTTAGTACTTAGTTAATAGGAATGTTGCTACATTCTGCTTACCCTCTCCCACAGATCACCCTAATGTTTAATCACTGCAGACTCAACTTTCTTTGCAATATAGTCCTAAACATGTTCAACTGGGTTCATATCAGAACTATTACCAGGCCATTCCAAAACTGTCAGCTTATTTTTGGCTATCTAGGTCTTAGCAATCTTTAGTGTAACAGGGAGCATTTTCCTACTGGAATACTGCTTCACAATCCTCAAAATAGTGGATTAGAGATGGAACTACACAGTAATTCTGATATGTTATACTCTCCGATAACTGTTCCATTGATTTGGTACAATCGACCAACTCCTATGCTAGTCATGAAGCCCCGGGCCATGGCACCATCACCACCATGCTTAACTGTGGGATTCATGCATTCAAGAAGATTTTCCTCTCATTTTCTTTCTCACTGGAAAGGACTTTTTCCCAGTTGAAACCTCTGTATGCGATTGCTCATTCAAGTCTTTCCTTCCTTGTTTTTTTCTGGCTTCTTCTTGGCCCCGAAATATTTTAAACGACTCTCCAGAAGTCTTTTCACTGTCATACCACTCAAGTCTATGTCAAAGATCTTCTTGAGGTCATTGGATAATGTCTTCCTTCTATCTCATAAGGCAACCTTTATAATGACTCTGTCCTCTCTTTTTGTTGTCTTCTTTTTCCTCCCTCTGCCTTCCCTGTCTTTCACTGTTCCTGTTTCTTTGTGCTTCTTAACTATCCCCTGCTAAATAGACCTTGCTACTTTCATCATTTCGGAAATTTTATTGCAGCTGTAACCTTCTTTGCGGAGAACAACAACTCTCACCCTGTCTTCCATACTCAACAGGGGCCATACTCTATAACTAATAAAAGTCAACCTCAATTGGCCCTAAGAAATTAAAAAATGTAATTAGACTGTAAAAACAAGTTACATTTAAAAATTAATTTGCTTGAAAAATCATTTAAATCATTTCAAGAACTCTTTATAAAACAGGTGAAGTCTGCACATCACATTCGCTCCCTTGCCGTAATTGCTTGGGCAACGACGATATGACGACTGCGGTTATGATCTTGGGGGAAGTCTATGCCCGCGTCTGCCAAAATATTCTCAGTGAGATCTGGTGATTTGAGTGGATGTGGCAAACGTAATCTCGAAATCATGCCTTCACGACAC